AACTCAATTAATTCTCGGACGGTCTTGAAAACCTTTCCATGGCGAGCAATTTCATCCAGTAGGTGACTTTTCAGTCCGTTCTTTGCCCGGTCCACGAGGTTTCCATCATCACCCCATCCTAACACCGCTACATATCGTTGAAAGGCGGCGAAGTACGCCGAAGCCGACCCATTCTGTCGGAGCTCATTTATTCCCCTTGCGGCGGTTCCTTCTTCGTCAGGGTCTCCGAAATTGGTTTTGAGATATTGGATGAACTTCTTATAGTTTAGAAGGTGTTCGGGGGGGTCGTCCTTAGGCAAGTCCGGTTGGACGGCAAGAAGAGGAGTATCGCGTAGATGGGAAATCATGAAAAAGATTTTTACTCGGTCGGTGGGGAACTTGCGGGTGTTGATCTCGAAATGAACTTCACATTCTGAGATGAATGCCGTGAGCTTTGACCTCTCGCCCCTCCACAGGTCTGGGAGGGGAAGCTTTATCCCTCCACTCATCTCAGCAACTCCTGGGGTCGCCGAAGCCTGCCTTCCAATGGCGAGCCGTACTCCCTCCGAGATCCCCTCGACTATTCCCCCAACCGTCTCCAGTTCCTTCTTCTTCTCCTGCTCCTCTCGACGTTTACTTTCTGCTATCATATCCTTATTCATCTCCATCATCATGTTCATTATCGCCAGCATCATCTTCTGCGTTGTGGCCTCCTCCTCAGCTCCTCCTACTACTTCGCTCCCGGCCGAACTTAGCCTACCTCCTGTGTTCCCTTCCCTTGGTCGTGGGGTCTGTCCCGAACCTTCGGAACCTGTCCTCACCGCTGGTGGTTCTGGTAGTCCGGTCTGCTGGGGAGGTGGTTCAAAAGGTAGGGGTGGATAGAAATCATCGCCTTGAGTTGATCCTTCGGGGGTATCAATTGCACCAGGCAATGGTCCCAAGCTTTGTCTTAATTCCTCTAACATCCTCCTCTCCGTCTCCTCTACTGTTTCTCCCGGTCTACTCATACTTCTTGTAATTCTCCTCTCTGGCTGCATACAATCTCGAACTTCTCCGAGGTTTGCACGGGTCGTCGGTAAGAGCGATCCTTGATACTGTCAAAGACGTCATTTCTTCTCCTCTACTGACCGACGGTCGACAAACCTCGGCTAACTACGTCGAAGTGGGGCGTCGTTGTCTCACTAAGACAGGGTACTCGTCGAGGAACTACGGCTAACTTCGCCGTAGTGATTCGTCGAGTGGTAAACTGATAAGATGATCGTCGATGAACTGCGGCTAACTTCGCCGTAGTACGTTGAACTGCTCGGTGGTAGCTCTCCTAAATTCGAAGGTTGTAGCTACTGAATATATCTCTCGCTACTGACAACAATCAAGGATCGCTGAAGAAGTTCAGCGATCTGTAAACTATCTATACTACTCCTCTCTTCTCGTAGAATGTCCCTCAACTCCTGCACTGCCTCACGCTCAGTCCTCTTCGTTCAACTTCGCCGTACCTTCCCCTGTTCTGCTCTCCCTCGGTTCCCTTCCCCTAACTTCGCCGTAGTTCCCCGCTAGGCGGGGTTATCGTGACAAATCCCCTCTTGGTTCTCGTAACTTAGCCGTAGTTGGTCTCAGTGGTTCGAGTGGAGGTTGGTAGTGGTGAAAAGGAAGGTCGGTGATGGTGAAAGGAGGGTCGGTGATGGCGGTTGTCAGGGATGTTACGACGTAGTTCGTGACACAATACGATCATCATATTTGTTTTCATTGGCAATCGTTCTAGTAATCGCTTGTTCCTCAAAGGATAAGAACTCTTCGTCTTTGAAAAGAGGATGATTGAAAATGTAAAGCGATGGAAACCATTTGCGAACGTGTACGATATCTTGTAGAAATGATTCACGGAGATGACCCATTGTTTGAAGAAACATTCGACTAGTAAGCTCTTCTTCCGGACGTACGCTAGAATCGAGAATTCCTATCCTTTGAGAGTCAGCAAGAGCACAAAATAGCAAAATTTAGCAAATTTTAGCACAAACTAGCAAGAGTGGGAATCAAATCGCGACTTAAGCTCACCATTTCTCAATTTCAGGAAAAACTTTGCGTAGAAGGGTTGCAGGAGGCGAAATATCTCTCGAAAGAAAGAAACTATTGCCCTCAATAGAAAAACCAGCAAGAGCTCGCACCGGTCGACGAGGAATATGCGTTAAATAGTGATTTTCTAGAACCGAATGTGCCCAATGTCCGGCTCGTGCAATTTCCTCTGATGTTGCACCCCCTTGTTCGGCTAAACGAGCACCAAAACGTCTATTTATATGTGTTTTTTGATATGTGTGAACGTTGGCGGCGTGTAGCGCATCACTAACTGCTCTTCGTTGAGTATCGTATGAAATCGGTTTTGTTCGTAATTTACCATCACATAATAGTGGTAAATCGTACCATTTAGCTCTTGCTGACATATCTGGAAATCCTGCGGGTGAAGAGCCACAATAAAAGCTAGAATTTAGTATATATCGAGGACTTGGGTTTAAATACGGCTTACCGTGCAAATAAGTAAAGACTTAAGTGGAAGACAGGACATATTCTTAAATCTTTGTTTCTGATAAACGCAGTGTACTGAGGTTTACCGGAAGAGTTTGTTTTGCTTGATTGTATGACCAATACAACGAATAAACAAGACGTCGGGCCTTCTCTGCTAGAAATTTCAGAGGATATGTCCGATAAGAGTAAACTGCGCTGGTTATCACCTCTTAACATGCCAAATATTCCTAATGATTGCGCTAAAGCATCTCTGATACCCTCTTCGTTATTTCGAGCCATGTAATGCTCAAAAGAACGTTTTAATTGCGTTGTACTTTCATAGCCATCATAATAAAGCTCTACTTATCAATGCTGACCGTTTTATAAGCAAAACATGTGCACTTACGTTTTCCTTTGTCGGCGAACATTAATCTCTTTCTACGTTGGTCAAATTTGATTAATATGTTCACAATTGTCATAACGTAGATGCTACGGGGCGAAGAAGTCTTGTTGATTCCTCTTTTTGATTGTTGTTGCCAGAGATTAACAAGAGCAGCGACCCATGACAGAATAGTGCTAGGACTAATTGTACAATTTAAGATAACGTCTAAAGCTTTGACTATTAGCTATTTACTGCTTTAAAAACAGTGATATTCACCTGATTTGGCTGTATTTTTTGATGAAGAAGGAACTGTTTTCAAAAGCATGTCGATTTCTGCTTGAGTTTGATGTAAAATTCGTTTTTCATCATCATTTGAGATTTCCTCGAGTCTTTGCTCTGTCGTGAGCTCCTCCGGTTCGATTTCAGCCTCATCTAGCATGTTGTTGTCAATTTCAGCAGCAGAAAGTACATGTTTTTGTTTTTTGCCTTTTCCTTGCAAAACAACCTCATATAAAAACAACAGCGCATGTTGAGGAGTAACGATGTCGCTATAGATCAGCTGACATCCTTTGATTGTTTATAAAGGCACCTCCTTTCTTCATCAAACACGAGTGTCACGCCTGCGGGTAGACTGCGGTAGCAAAGGACTGCCTTAGGAACTGAGGGGTTTAGTCTCTGGCTCGTGGACCTTGGTGACTGCCTTGGGTACCGAGGGTTCGAGAGGTTGGGTTAGAACCAACTGAGTGACTTATCAAACGAGGGTAAGGGAATTGAAAAGATACATTGCTGAAGAAGAAAACTACAGCACTAGATAGGGTTTAAATACTAAAATCAGCCTTTTCCAAGAGGCTCGTGCAGACCTGCGGAATACGAGCGCTCTGAACCGTTCTGCACTGTCCTGCATGCATTGCCATGCATCCCACCGATTACCACTGAGATCCTACGATGCCATATCTGCGTTTACCTACGTCCTACTATGATATCCTACGTGATGCGCCGGAAGTCGGTGACTTTGTCGAAGGTGGTCGATGAGGAACTATGAGGAACTATGCAGAACATAGAAGAGCTGCGAGAACAAGAGACTGAGAGATTATGCCTTACAAGGCATCAGAACAGAGGAAAGAGAAACTAGAGAAGTACTTGGGGCTTATGCCTGTCAGGCATGAGAGCACAGGAAAGATAGTCTTGGGGTTGATGCCTGATAGGCTTGAGAGCAGAGGAAAGATAGACTTGGAGTTTACGCCTGATAGGCTTGAGAGCAGAGGAAGATATGAGAGTGGAGGTTTGAACTTGTGATTATGACAAGTCATTATTTGATAGTGTCATTCATGACAACGAGTCCGCTCAAAATAGCACAATTGAGCAAGAAGTTGCAGGAATTAGCAAATTTGAGCAAGGAAGAGTCCTTTACTCACCGTTCAAAGAAGTTTTGCTTATCAGCCCACTCTTTCCACCTTTGTTGTCGAGGTCTGTATTGTTTTCGACTGTTGGAAGACAAAATAAACTCTCCTAGCTCCACTGTTTCGTCTATAACATGTTGTGCTTGAGGATTGTTATAAGGGTGAGTTATTTCTGAATGTGGGTTACTTTTAAGATGACGAGGCATAGTGATACTTGAATATAGAGACTTCAGCAAAGGATTGAGATTGAACGAAAAGAAGAACTAATTCAAGAGAAGTTGTATCATTGACTGCTTGAAAAAGATTACTAATGTATTAAGAAAACAATGTCGTATAACTGAAGGGCAATTGGCAGTATAACTTCAATTATACGACATAGCTCTTCTAATTGAATTAGGAAATGCAGGCGGACTCATTAGGACGCAGATTATCAGAAGCGGGACAATTGCCACTTTGGGGAATTTTGGGCGGACCGAGCCCGTCCGGGCGGAAGCAAAGTTTGGCTGGGACGCGCGGACGGACGCGGACGGGTCCGCCATATAATGCCTGGGCTTGAGCATGCAGTGCCAAGCTTCCAAGTTCAACTTGTCTGCCGAATCGGCCGGGCCTTGTTCGCTTTGATCTCTCCTAACTTGCCGAAATGTTCGGGAAACGACGTCATGGTACTTGTGATTCCTTACTCTGGTCATTGCCAAAGACACATTCACAACCTTGTTGTTGTCTTTGACCTGAAGGAGGCAAGGAGCAACAAGGAAACCCCGGGCATGTGGCCGGTCAGTTTCGATTGAAAGATTCCTTCACACAGCCCTGATCGACGATTCACAACCACATTCCTCCCTTGTCTCTGCTCTTTCACTCGACTGTGGGTGAAACCTCCGACATATTATGCGTATCACGGTCTCCTTCAGTCTTTTGGTTTGGCTCTTCCACCTGATCGTCCTTTGCACTGCCCAGTGAGCGATATCTTTCACAATGTTTGAAAAAAGCATTCGTGCTGACCCGGAGGCAATCTCAAACCAAGTCTTCATCATTGTTGAACACTGCTAAACGTCTATTCCAAGTGGCCCTTGGACAAACCCCAGTCGAAGATTTGTTAGCTCGTGATGAGGCCGACAGAGCGGCTGGCGTGACTCGTATCACGAGGAATAACTATGAGAAGTTATTGACGGATGGTGAATGGGTGATTTTGGTGTGAGCTTGATCTTCCCACAAAGACTTGACCTAGCCCCATTCCCATTCCCATTCCCATTCCCAGACCCAGACCCATTCCCAGACCCATTCCCAGACCCATTCCCAGACCCAGACCCAAACCCAAACCCAAACCCATCCTTATGGCCCATATAGAGAGAAGTAAGAAGATATTACATGCTCTCTATACGTCTGGAGTTCTGACAGTTGATGGAGTAGCGGGAAAATAGACCTTAAGCGGCCAACGGGAGGGGAAATAGTCATTGGCTGATCATTTAGTCATGGAAAAGACCCATTGTCACCTCGTTTCTTAGAGATGCACACAAACGCTTCTTTGGCTTCTCAAGAATTATCACTCGGTATTAAATGGGGTCGAGTGGATTTGATAGAAGAAACTTACATTTCCATGCGATGGCTTCTTTTCAGGTTAGTTGGTTTCCCTTCTCCCTACCTTTCTCTCCATCATAACTCCCCACCTCACTCTCTCTCTGTACGTTTCCCCTTCCGTAGTGTATGTAATTTCTCGAACTCTATATGAGTCAAATCACCACATTAAATGTTTTTGTTGTCATTCATACACGGTCAGCAAGTAGGACAATGATTAACAATTGAAGTCCTGTTAACATATCAGACCACCTTATCTCGTTTTCATTTCTAATTCCGGTCATGATCTTCGATTTTTATCTCCACGACATGTACACCCTGAAGGTGATAGATTATCGGAGTTTGTGGAGAAAGAACAATGGAAAGATTTACCAATATGGAACAGTAGGTATGGACCTGATGGTGATCGGTAAGTCTTTCCTTTATGTTTCTCTACATTCTTTTTCGTAACCCTGTGCTACTGATTCTTGGCCTGTTTCCAACGCTTCACCACCGTCTCTGATTATCAAGTTGAAGTCGTCTGATGCCGAGATGACGAGGAACACGTTTGAAGAAATTTGGGAGGAAGAAATGAACTTATGGATAGAGCTTGGATCGTAGACTGGTATCTCATCATAACGACGAGAGTCTCTAAAATCATCGACTCCATACCTCCGGTTTTCTGGGTCTTCATCGTTAGCATAGTGGCCGATCTGACCATGCGGTGGCTACATGCTCGACCACGTACAACGACGAACACCAGAAGTACTCCACAACATCATGACTCATCAAACTCTCCGACTTCATCTGGAGTACCACTCTCGAAGACATAAACATCATCTGCACAAATAGGAATATCCACATCATGCACCTTGTAGCATCTTAGTTCTTCTCAGAACCACAGGGAGTCATCTCTGAACTTGCAGACTGAGAGATGTCAAGATAAACCACTCATTTCATGCATTAACACTGACTTCCTCCTCGTACATACGACAAGACGATCTTTTCATCTTATCTACTTTTGGGCCATCTTTCCTCCAACTTACCCTTGGTAATCTCATACACCATGAGATATCGAAGGTATGGCATGTTACTAGCGTCAAATTCAAACCCATCATCTATCAAATCCCTGCCTCTTGCCAAAGCTTCAATGGTCTGACAAGCGAATACTCCACAGTCGGAACCGTTATCCTGCGAAGGAGCATCCTACGAGTCAGCACAGGATACCTCATCAAAATGTCGATACCTGAGAGTGTGTATCATAACAACGATGGGAATGACTCACAGGGTTCCAAGCGTTTGTCCAACCGGTAAAGTCGAAAGGAGTACCCTTTTTGTTACGATGTTCACAATCGACATATTCTCGCAAATTCTGATGGATCAGCATTTCGCTAAAGCCCACAAATACTGCGAGGCAGAAGAGAAAACATACGGCATAAATATCTCTTTGCAAATTATTCATCGAGTCGTAAAATTCAAAACGCTTGCGTTCAAAGTTTATCGCAGCAGCCGTCCAATGTACTCCTTTTATGTTGATGACCAATAGTACCAAATCTTTTTCGAAAATATCAACCTTCTGATCAGTAAGAAAATAAAATGCAAAGTGATCTCGATTCTACCTTCTTGGTCCACTTGTGCAACTTTGACTTCTCGTATCCCTGTTGAAGCTTTGAATAAAAGTAAGAGTTGAAGTAATGGATTTTACGCTTTCCCTCACGTTCCGTTCGATCCATGATCATATTTCCGTAAAAGTTTACTATTTCGTCGTTCAGCCACTCGTCCGGCGCGCCTGGTCTAAGCCGGGAAAGAGTGCTGTGATTGACGATGTAGTTATTCAGATTAGCATTGTAAGCGCGATTCCGGAATGCTTCTTGGACCTGGAAGTCAGCCGCGGCTTGGGTATAGGTGAATGCTCGGCGATATGACAAGAAGACAATGAGAAGCAAGATGGAAGATTCTCAAGGATGGATCAAAAGACGTGGGTAGTGAGAGAGAACCGACGTACCACTAATTTCTGATTGGGCGTGAGGGATTTGGGCGGTCGAGGTGTAAGACGATCTCTGATCTTTCGATCTTCCTCTTCATGTTCCAGTTCAAGCTTTTTGAACAATTTGTCCAGATCTGGTGCTCGCCTGTGTTGTCAGTACCGAAAGGTTGACTATAGCTACCACTCACTGTCTCTTCCCCAAATCTTCCGCCTGTTTACCGGTCCCATACCTCAGCTCAGGGTGATATGTCTTTCTATCAGCACGATCATAACTCTGTTTTGATGCACGGACCGCTGTGGACTTGTTGACAACTTCTTCCAATGTCCTTGCACCTTCCAGCGTTTGGTAAGACTTCCCACGCAGCAATTTCGCAAATTCCGATTTTGAGTCCTGTCCATAACGAACTGCTATCAGCTTTTTGTATGACATTGAATAGCAGACATACCCGAACGCTGGTGTTTCTTCTGCGGATTCGACCCTTGGTAAATTTGCACCAGTCTCTGACCCTGCTTCTCATCCAGTGAGCCAGCTTGCACTAGATCTTGTAGTCTGTTCTGGACTGCTTTTCGTGCGTCTTTGGCTTGATCCCTCTTCTTGCCCACCGCCTTCGACTTGTTGGAAGACGTCTTGAATGGATCCTCAGAAGTATTTGACAACCAACCATACTTTCTGAACGGATGTTCATTCGAAGAGAGGTTAGGACGAGAGGGGCGACGGGGCAGTTTTCGAGAAGTGGACGTGAGACGCTGACGTGATGGTGAGAGGGAGCCGGTGTTGAACAGCTCCGGTGTGTCATGGGAAGTAGGGAAACCGACTGAGGATGTAGAGGACGGGGGTAGACGACTTGGTCCAGCCTGAGATGAGGATGAATCGGCTTCGTCTTGTGTTTGTCTTGATCGGTCGTCCTCACTGTCGGTTTCTCCAGTCAAGTCGATGACATCGGACTTTTCAGGAGGAGACTCGGACTCTTGTAGCAAAGCCAGGGTACCTCCCGGATGAGGTTTCAGCTGGTCCAAAGAGGAGATCTCCCTCATTTCAGGGATGGTCCTGTGACCGTTTTGTAGCGGAAGCCGAGCTGAAGCTTACACTGTCAGCCTCCTCTAGAGCTGCAAAGCTCAAAAACACTTCACCTGGTGGATGATTGAAAGGAGATACGGCTAGGGAGAACAAACGTCTGAACCCCCAAATGATACCGTCGTAGGTAGATTCAGTGATGATTCGTTGTCTCTTGAGAGATCTTTGTCTATCAACGGGAAGATTGGAGTGAGATGAGAGGGACTGGGAGGAGACTCTTCGCTTCCCCGCGGGCATTGGAGTATGACTGAAAGGAGATCTGAGTTTCGACTAATGAGCAGTTCTGGGCGGGTTTCGTGCTGGTGAAAGGGCACAGTCATGAAAGCAGATGTTCGATACTGATTTCAAGAGTGGGATTACAGGAAGAGGATGGGTCATTAAGGTGAGGAGGGAAGGTATAGGGGACGAATGGGACAAAGATACAACTAAACTCAACTCATCTGATGTTGCGAGAAGTTGAAAGCGGAATCAAATTCTCTCTCAGCCAACGGCGGTTCTCACTCCAAATCCTCGCCGACACCAATTCATTTTATCGTTCAATCTGTCCGCTCTCCCTGCACAGACTGCTCATCCGAGGACTCACTTTCACGATAGAGAACAACATAGTAAGACCATAAGCTCGAGGTGAAACTGGTAGGAAACCCAGACTCATGGCTCATGACCGGACTGCAGGCGACAACGTCGTCGGCGAATCTTCTCGCCGATGAAGGGCATCCACAAGAGCAAAACAAGGAGGCTGAGCGGGAAGTGGGCCCGGAGTTAGTGAGAGGAGATGATGTCAATGAAGGGATTGGGGCGGAAAATGATCAGGTGATTATCGATGAGGAGATGGCACTCATTAATGGTCCGAGTAGGGAGGAAGAAGCAGCGGAAGAAGATATGAGGGAGATAGGACCGCCGAACGCTGGCAAGAGGGTCAAGGTGAGTCTCTATATATCTCATCAAGACGCCAGCCGATGATTCTCTACATCGGTCATACCATCTGATTCCATTGTAGTGATACGGACTGCCCGTTGATGATGGAGTCTGGCGCTGATCCTCGACCAGGTTTACGAACTGCGAGCTTCTCAGTGGTTTGATCGAGGGACAGGGCACTGTAGAGGGGTTTACGACGGTTCTCAGAATTTGGCATTAATCATTGTCGAGATTGAGGATTCCGGTGATAGACCTTCCGAGGGGGAAGGAAACGAAGGGCCCGGCGGGTTCGTCAAGGATGACGAATTTCTTCTCACTGCTAGAGTGGAAAAGGAGGACATCTATTCACGACAACAAGGTGTGTGAAATATTTAAATCTCACACCTCTTTAGTTACACCGCTCATCGGTAGATACGTTGATAGTGTGGACGGAGCCCGAGTCGAACCTTGACATCGCATTATCATTTCAAGATGCAGAGGGATGCGAGGACATCTGGCAGTTCATCTGCGATGTTCAAAAACATTTGAACGGACTGCCTCGTAAGTGTTCTCCTTTCAGTGATTATCTTGTTGTTCATATTGGCAGACGAAGATCAATCCATACCTTCGAGTTCTTCACCAATGGCGCCTTCTCCACCTCTCGAAGGATCATCCGATAGTCAACCACCAGCGAAATTGACTTGGCAACCTCCCACCTTGGCTAATATCAGGTCAGTCATGACTTCTTGCCAAAAATCAGGATGCACTAACGGATCAGAGAGCAAGAGATGATGCTGCGTATGCAAGCCAAGTCTCCCGCTGTCAGGGAACGAGTGGTGGCTCACATCATCAATGAGGTCAGTTTTCAATCGTTTGACAAAAGAATGACGTAACTGATACATGACAGGACTATATCAAACAACTCAAGAATGTTTTTGAACAAGCTGAAGATTTGGAAAGTTTAGACGACCTCCACGCTTTATGTGCTTTGATGCAGACTATAAGTAAGTCTTCCCTCCTGCTCATGTGTGATATCGCTGATGTGGAGTACTTTTCAATGATAACGGTATCTTCGAATACATCCTTCAAGATGACGTTTTCCTCAGTGTCATCGGGATGTTAGAATGTGAGATGATCTTGACGATCTCATTGATCTGTGGCTGACATTTAGATGATCCAGATTTCCCTACACTCAAAGCATCTTATCGTCAATTTTATCAAGACACAGCACGATTCCGTCAAATAGTCGAGATAAAAGACGCCACCATCCGTACCAAAATCCATCAAACTTATCGCTTATTATATCTCAAAGATGTTGTGCTTGCTCGTATGCTAGACGATCCCACTTTCAACATTCTCAACGGTTACGTCTTTTTCAATCAAGCAGATATCATCGCATATATTCAACATCCCGAATCTAATTTCCTTCCTGAACTTCTCAATGGTTTCCAATCCCTTCCTCTTGATGCACCTTCCAACTCTTCGGGTCCACCATCTCCACTGGACGATCGTAAACGCGATGTGGTGTTGTTCCTTCACCAACTGATGCTCATGGGTAAAGGACTACAACTACCCAACCGACTCGCTTTATATCGTAATCTCATCGAACATAATTTGCTGATCGTTTGTGAATGGGCCTTTCGTCGATCAGAAGCTCAATTGTTACATCCAGCAGCTGAGATTCTCACTCTTCTTGTCGAACATGATGTGAACGGAGTCAGGGTTCATGTGTTGAAGGAAGAAAAGGCAAAAAGACCAACTTTGATCACGGAAATGATATCTCTTCTTACCAGTACGAAAAACCTCGGTTTAATGAGTCAAATGGCAGAGTCTATGCGAATATTATTGGACACTGCTCCTGAAGAGTCTGTGAGTTCTGATTTTTTTTGGTCACTGATCGACATTTGACTGACTTGAATCAGTCGTTTTTACAACGGAAAGAAGGTCACGTAGCGGAAATCTTCACTGCGTACTTTTACGAATCATGTTCCTCACAACTTTTCAAACCTATCTCAGATTTACCAAATATCACAACTATCATGGATCCTCCTTTTCGACCTACAAGAGAACAAAGTTCGTTGATACAACATCTCGTCGAACTGTTATCTTTCTGCGTACTCATACATGCTCATAGAGCTTCATATTTTATCTTGTCAAATCCTATTTCTCCTAAAGTCGTTTCATTACTTCATCTAAAGCATAAACCATTACGGCATGGTAAGCCTTTTCTTTGATTTCCAGAATTTCAATTGATGATTCAGCTACATTACGTTTTATCAAGGCGTGTTTGAAAACACCTAATCATTTCATACATCGTTATTTTGTGAAAAACGATCTTTTGGGACCCGTGTTGGACATATTGGAGAAAGAGAGTGGAAGGGATAACATGCTAAGTTCAGCTTGTATGGATGTATTGGATCTTATACGGAGGGTAAGTCTGGTTCCTGAAATAACTTGTTCACCTATTTCTTCTTCTTTGCATCCTCTTCTCCGTTCTATACCACCAACCACTCTCATCTCTCGCTTTAGCCAATCTCATCTTGCCCAGCTCTTTGAAGTCTGACAGACAATACGAGTATCTCAAGTATTAACGAGTTTTAGGAAAACGTTAAACCCGTCATCAATTATCTATTCGAAACTTACCGTACTCGACTTGACTCTTTATCCACTCGACCATTTCTTCGTCCTTTTATCATCCGTCTCATTCAACGTTGGGAACAGAATAACGAACCTCCACCCCCTCCACCTCCAAATGTACCGGAAGCTGACACTTCCGCTCGACGCGCAGAAGCTGAAGAAGAAGATTATTTCAATGCTTCTGACGAAGAAGAGATTGGTCCGAAACTTCCTACTGTCACTTCATCTGATAAACCACCCAAACGTCGACCTAGAGCACAAGGTGGACCTCCACCAAAACGGAATATCCGATCATCAGCTCCTTTACCCATCAGTGGTGGAGAAGGTTCAGCATTGGGATTGGATTATGATGATGGTTCCGATTCTGATTCCTCAGGAGCCGCTTCACCACGACTCACACCTACCACACCTACCACTACGGATCTGGATGCAGATTTGAGTAGCGTGGCTATGCGTATGCGGAGTAAAAGACAGGAAGAGGAAGAGGAAGATGAAGGTTTTGCTGGGTTGTTGGTAGGTGCCAAACGGAGAGAAGTGGAGAAGAATCAACAGAGACCGGCGACAGCGACTCCACAGAGTCCGGTCGCAGGAGGGAAGGATACAAAGAGGGAGGGCACACCGATCAGTGGGAGAAAGCTGAGGATGAATTTCGGAGCGTTTGGTAAGAAACTGACAAAGCAGTAACGAACAGTATATAAATGTATACGTGACATGTACGCATAGCATCGGTTGAGTGGCCCTTCTCACCGCCAGTCAGTCACAGCACTCTGACATCTCTTGCTCCTCGAACAATCATCAGTCAGGACTGACAGCACTACTATCCATACTTCACATACGTATCAGCCTCATGACTCTTCATTCCCGTCTGATCAAATGAAATTCATCGACAGACGAACGGGTAGCTTGATTTACGTAAAAAGAGTGCAGAAGGGGATGAAAAAGGGACCTCGTGACAAAAGGGGTAAAGACTAAAAGAACGGTATCCCGATATGCGCCAGAGCCATGATCACCGAGATACACATTCTAAGCCGCCGCACCGGCCTCTTCCTTGGGAGCAGCATCTTTGTTCTTGACTTCTTCAGTCGAGCCAGCGTTCTCAACGTTCCCAGTCTCTGCACCCTCCGCTGATCGTCAGCGCTAGTATATCAGAACTTGTATGAGGATTTACCAGTCATGTCAGAAGTCCAGAGAGTGAGGTTATCACGGAGCAGCTGCATGATGAGAGTCGAGTCCCTGGGATCTTCAGCACAGATCTCAGTACCTCAAAGATATACTCACTTGTATGACTCCTCGGAGAGCGTGTCAAGCTCGGCGATGGCGTCGTCGAAAGCCTGCTTAGCGAGGTGGCAAGCTCGGTCGGGTGAGTTCAGGATCTCATAGCTGTGACATGAGCATGCAGATATGTCGACCGAACAAGTTGACTCACTAGAAGACCGAGAAGTTCAAAGCGAGGCCGAGACGGATAGGGTGCGTAGGCGGCAGCTCAGTGACGGCGACGTCAGACGCAGACTTGTAAGCCTCGAGTGATTTGTCCGCGGATTCCTTTCGCTTGTCACCGGTGGCGAATTCGGCGAGATAACGGTGGTAGTCTCCCATCCTGACGATGTCAACGCGGCACCTGGATGTCATGACGAATACTCACATTTTGTGGTAGAACACTTTGGACTCTCCAGTGGCGGCAGATGGAATGAGGTGTTTCTCGAGCACTTCCAGGATATCCTCGCAGATTTTAGCCAGTTCCGCTTCGATCTTTTCCCTGTACGTCTTGATCATGGCGACCTGAGCCTCGTTGCCTTTGGATTCCTCTTTCTGTTCGATGGAGGACACGATACGCCAAGAAGCACGACGGGCCCCGATCACGTTCTTGTAGGCGACCGAAAGGAGATTGCGCTCCTCGACGGTGAGCTCCTGATCAGAGGACGCGACGGTCTTCATGTTCTCCACCATTTCTGCTCGCGTCAGCCTCCATGAACGTGATAATGACGGTGATACACGTCTGTGACTGGGGGGGAACTATGAGCTCACCTTCATAACGCTCCGCTTGCTCGGCAAGCTTAGCCTGATAGACACTGTCTTCACGTGACATCTGCAAGGGAGAGATGTCAGAATGATTGAGAGGAGATGGGAAAAGAAAGAGAAATGCGGGGTTTTAAATAGTTGTCGAATGAGTCAAGACAATTAGATGCGATTTGGAGAAGTAAATCTGCGTCAGCCGCGTCACGCTGCAAAACACTGTACACTGAATGTG